TCTGGATCCCGTACCAAAAAAAAAAAAAATGCAGGTGGCATTTTTTTGGGTCAATGATGAGCTGGCATGTATTCTGAATCTAAAGTTGATTGTTACTACTTTAGCTCTAGAATTACTCTGAGACCTGAAAAATACCTGCATCGTGACTAAGTATTAATACTTTCATCTTTTTTCTTGTGTGTATTGAATAAATGCCAAAGAGCAGGTCATGAAATGTGCCTAAGTCACATCTTTTTGTTTTGAAAGGGCACTCCACAGAAGGACGTTACTATCAAGTCTGATGCACCTGACACCCTTTTATTGGAAAAACATGCAGATTATATTGCATCCTATGGCTCAAAGAAAGATGATTATGTATGTATGATTTTACGTTAAAGTTTTTCATAAGTCTCGATAGACATAAGCAGTAGGGCAATGTTTATGTGTGAATCTCACCAGTCATTGGAGGAATTGCCAGATAGGGTCGATCACGGTTTTGTTGTATATAACTGGTTTTTATCTTCGTAGTTGGGGTAATACTTTCAAGGTCAATGATGTATTGGCATGTATTATCTGATTTCCTGCTGATGTGTATTAACACTAGCTCTAGAATTACGCTGAGACCTTGAAATGATTTTACCTGAAGGTTTTACACTTAATAGCTTTCCTTTCTGGGGCAGTCTTGGCAAAAAAGGAAAAAAGAACTTGCTTGAGTGTTTTTCTCAAAGTATCCAAAAGAACTGGATTTCTGCCATCTTGGGGAACAATGATCCACACTTTAACCTAAAATAGCTACTAGGTGTGGTGGTGCATGCTTATAATCTCAGCCCTACCCCTGAAGCAGCAAGATTGCCTCCATTTCAGGACCGCCTAGGCTGCATGTACCACACCTCAAAATAGATGAAGCCTCTAAAGCGATAGTTAACTGCAACAAAATTATCTTTGGAATCCATACTAATTTTATGTGTTTCTTTTAGCCACATTTATATAGGCATACTCATGAACTTTCTGCATGCTTAGGCCATTTTCAATTTTTGTGTCATTTCATAATAGATTTTGTACACAGAATAAAAGAATGAATGATGAATGTGTTATGAAGTACCCTAAACTTTACTGATGAAAATGGTAGACTGTTTTGTTCAACTCATTTTTCCTCTGGCATTTTGAAACCTCTCGTCAAAAATTCAAATTGACCCATTGAAGAAATGTTGTTTTAGGAGTACTGCATGTCTGAGTACTTGAGAATGAGTGGCATCTACTGGGGTTTGACGGTAATGGATCTCATGGGACAACTTGATCGCATGAATAGAGAAGAAATTCTGACATTTATTAAGTCCTGCCAACATGAGTGTGGTGGAATAAGTGCTAGCATTGGGCATGATCCTCATCTTTTGTATACTCTCAGTGCTGTCCAGGTAAATATTTAAAATTCAGTTTTGAAGAGTCAGGAATTGAAATTGTTTTAGGGAGAGGACAAAATAAGTTGTTGATAAGTCTGTTCGGCGAGGTCAGTGATGTGATGGCATGTATTAGCTGAAGGTGCAGCTGTTGTGAATTCTAAAATTACCCTGAGACCTTGCAAGACAATTTTTATCTTTAATATATGAGACTTTGAAAATAACCAGCTTTATTTTGATGTTAGTGAATATACACATTTTGTTTTGAAGTCCAAGTCAGTTTATAGGTAGAGGAATGCTTTACAGTTAAATGTTTGGAAGTGTTGATAAAATACAATTTTATTGAGTAAAATTGAAGTCTGTATATTTGAGGTTAGTGGACAGTGTCAGTAGACTAAAAGAAGCATTACCTTAAACAACTTGGGATAGAATGAATTTGAAAGGTTATTTTCTAAATTTGTCTTTTGTATTACAGATTCTTACTCTGTATGATAGTATTAATGTTATTGACATAAATAAAGTTGTGGAGTATGTGCAAAGTCTACAGAAAGAAGATGGTTCCTTTGCTGGAGACATTTGGGGTAATGTCATATTTAGTCCTTTCTACACAGAATTCAGTATTAAAATGTCTGGATTTGGTAGTAACCAACTGATAAAGAGATTTTAAGTTTTTCATCTTTTCAGGTCCCACTAAGCAGCTGGTCTAACTGGCATTAATGGCCCAGCATGCTCTGTCGTAGCATACAGGAGCACAGGAACAGAGGGGCCATTCTAAAACATACGGTAGGTGAAATACTTTCCCCAGTATTGGGTGGCTTTATAAAGTTAAATCAAATGACATACTAAAAGGGGAAGACAAAAATTAGGAAATTACTGCATATTTGAATGGAGGGAGTGGCTCCAATTTTACTTGATAAATGTAGATAATCTCTGCTTTAGGGCTGAACACAGTGCAGGCCAGAGAGACCAGCTGCTTCATGGGATGTGAAAATCTACTTTTGTAAAATAGGGTAAGTTTATTTGCATTATTAGAAATCAGCTAATCTTTCACTTCTGTTTCTTTAACTTTGTGAGACTGTATGCAACCTGAGATTATTTGGCATTACGTTTGACAGTTTTCTGTTAGTTTCCTTCGAACTGAAGGCATTTAAGATTGAGCTTTTCTTCTGATAATATAATGTAAACATTATGCCCAAATTGTTGGGAATTTAATGTGGTTGTTTGCACAGGTTTTGTTTTTAGGTAGCTAGCACTATTAATGATCAGAAGCCTCTGCTGACATGTACGTTATCACTTTTGTTTTAGGAGAAATTGATACAAGATTCTCTTTTTGTGCGGTGGCAACTTTGGCTCTGTTGGTAAGCTTTGATGAATATTACATTGAGATGACTGATCATCCATAAATACTCTGGAATTTAGAGTTTTTCCCTTCTATTGATAGGGGAAGCTTGATGCTATTAATGTGGAAAAGGCAATTGAATTTGTCTTATCCTGTATGAACTTTGATGGTGGATTTGGTTGCAGACCAGGTTCTGAATCTCATGCTGGACAGGTAATTTATTATGTAGCAATGTATTGCATTGCTTCTTAAAGGAGATTACTGACGTAGTAAAATGGAGGGTGTAGTAATAAAATTCATTGTTAAATATGAATGAAGCTAATTTTACTATAATGTGGGCTATTACCTAAAAATTGTGTGATTGCTACTTAAATAAAGTGTTCTTACAATTTACTCTACGTAGGGTTGTTCGCCTGTTATTAGACACCTCTCATCCAAGCAAACAAAAGTAGGTTCATAGTTACCCAACTAGCTCTGGGGGAGGTAATTGGACCTAGGACCTCCCACATCATACTAGGCAAGCAGTCTTAATATCTGAGCCTGCCCGGCCCTCCATTGATGTTTAGTTAATGTAGGTGAAATCATTCTAGCCTGTGAATAAGCACATCTTTTTGTCCCAGAACATTATATAGGTAAATAGTTGTAAAGTAATAAGCTATGAAGAGATTCTGATAGCATTTAAATACAAAATAGGGTTTTAGTATTTGAGTAATTCTTAGTACCTTTGCTTTCAAGAAATTATACATATGTACTTTATGTCTGTAATTTTAGATCTATTGTTGCACAGGATTCCTGGCTATTACTAGTCAGTTACATCAAGTAAATTCTGATTTACTCGGTTGGTGGCTTTGTGAACGACAGTTACCCTCCGGTGGACTGAATGGAAGACCAGAGAAGGTATTGCCGTAATGCTTATCTTTCTAAATTGATTACTGCCTTGTCTTTATTCCTCTTGTAAATTGAGTTTTTCCCTTCTGCTATGAAGAGTTCTAGAACATCTGCTCTTGGAAAAAGTAGAACCTGCCTGGTTGAAATGATCCTGGACCTGATGAACATTTCCAGATGCCTTTTATTCCCCCTTCCTTGATAGCACTGGACAGCCCAGGGTGTTCTACCCCATAGCCACATCCTCTTTGCCAGTCCTTTTGTTGTTTGAGTCAGCGTCTCCTAAAGTTGCCCGAGTTGGCCTTACATTCTTCAGGCGTTAAAGTGAAGCTCTTTTTTTTTTTTTTTTCAAACCTTTTAGTCATTCATTAAAGACTTGAAAGCTAATGGCCAGTGGCTTTACTTTTATACATGCTGTATATAAACCTTCATGTCCATTGTAGCCCTGAAAACAATTCATTTTTGCCCAAATTAAAGACTTTTTAATTAGGCAGTTAAGTTATTTGAATTTAAAATGTTTTTCTGAAAACCCATAACTTGACATTTTGTTTTGGGTGTTACTAATTTTCCTTCATGTTAGATAAGTCTGTAAAGGACCATAGTGAATAATCCAAAGCAAAAAATATTCTCAAGCCGGGAGTGGTGGTGCACGCCTATAATCCCAGCACTCAGGAGGCTGAGGCAGGAGGATTGCTGTGAGTTTGAGACCAGCCTGGGCTACACAGTGAGTTCCAGGTCAGTCTCAAATACATAAATGAGACCCTGTCTCACGCATTTAAAAAGAAAAAAGGAAGAATCTCAGATATAAAAGTTTTTTGAGTAACATGATTCCACAAAGTAGAGATTTCCGTTTCCACCCCTGATAACTTGTTTAAGTCTTTGTCAGAACACGGGCACCCAAAAAGAACTGTATAAAAGTAAAATTACATTTAGGCTATGTGTATAAAGTATATGAGGCATACCAGAGCTTTATCTTTTTACTCTACTAATGTAAAAACTAAGTAAAGCTGTGGTAGTGCATGCCTGTAATCTCAGTGCTACGGGAGGCTGAGGCAGGAGGAATGCTGTGAGTTCAAGACCATCCTGGGCTACATAGTGAATTCCAGGTCACTCGTCTCAAAAAAAACTTAAGTATAAAGTATGGATTTGACTTACAGACTATATAGCTTGCTGTATGTCCCATGAATTGGGACATGGTGGTACTTAACTGTATTTTATCTGAGCTAATAGATTTTCTTTTCTGCCAATACCTGGGATCAAACTCAGGACCTTGCATTTGCCAGGCAGGTGCAGAACTCCCAGACTGAGATCTGTTATTTTTAAACTGTGCCTTCTCTGCGTATTTTGAGCACCTTAGTGAGCAGGGAAATACCCATGATAGTGTCTGGATAGGGTCTGATTTTTTTAAATCTTGGGGAGCTGTTAAAATTGCTTTTATGTGCTTATGAATTTTCCTGGAAGCTCATTAAGGTGGGGAGAGTATCATGGTAAATGCATTTCATGAACCTTTATTATTAACCTCAGTGTTAAAGGGCTGAGTTAGGCAGGCATTAATGAGGGTTGCTAATCACTGAGTACTTGAAACTGCATGGGCACCTGTGGCCTGGACTGGCGTTGATCAACTCTGAGCATACATTTCAGACACTTCACGACGGTCCTGTTTTCCTCCTATGGTTTGGACATGAGATTAGATTGAATTTACAAATTATTCTTTTTTTTTTTTTTCAGCTTTAATTGAGTTTATTGGTACATTATCTCACATTTTTTTCTTTTCCCTTATTACCCTTCCCCTACCCATCCCACCTTCCCTACACCTTTAGCTCCTTTCTTCCCATTTCTAAATGTCAGTAATCTTATTAGGATCTTCTGTATTATTGCAGATTATTCACACCAGAGAAACTATTCGGTATTTACACGTGTGTGCCTTATTTATTTCACTTAGTATATCTTCAATATGTATCCATTTTCCTATGAATGAATCTATTTTCTCGTTCTTTATAGCTGAGTAGTATTCCATTTTGTAGAAAAACCACATCTTTATCCAGTTTCCGATGGATGGGCAAATGGGCTGTTTCCAAGTTTTAGCTATTACAAACTGCCGCTATAAACATGGGTGCCCATACTTCTCTGTGATATGATTCTTTTAGTACAAATTATTCTTTAGCATGAGAAAAGGAATTAAATTGTGACATTTTGTTGGTTTTTGTTTTGTTTTTTCAGTTGCCAGATGTATGCTATTCATGGTGGGTTTTGGCATCCCTAAAGATAATTGGAAGGCTTCATTGGATTGATAGAGAAAAACTACGCAGTTTTATTTTAGCATGTCAGGATGAAGAAACTGGAGGTTTTGCAGACAGGCCAGGAGATATGGTAAGTGTATTTCTGATAAGTTTGAATAAGTTGCTTTTTTCAGTAATGGATTACTTTCATGGTTCTAGTGATTTCCAGAAGTAGAAGCAGTACACCTGGTGGGACAGTGCAAGCGTTACCTAGAAAGCAGTGTTTACCATAACTTTTATACTAAAATACAAAGAAATTTCTTGTCACCTATTACCAGACATATTTTGAAAACTGCAGTATCTATTAACAAAATCATGTTCAATATAGTTACAAATGGGGTTTTTTGTTATCTTCATTTTATAATAATGTAAATCCTTGTGTTTTTCCTAAATAGGTGGATCCTTTTCATACATTATTTGGCATTGCTGGATTGTCACTTCTGGGAGAAGAACAAATTAAACCTGTTAGTCCTGTGTTTTGCATGCCTGAAGAAGTGCTTCAGAGAGCAAACGTTCAGCCTGAACTAGTGAGCTAGATTTGTTGGATAGAAAAGTGTAGTATAATAGTTTTTGACATCTCAACATTTCTGTATTTGAAGTGCTTCATGAACTTAAAAATGTGTACTGTTCCTATTCTGTATATTGTGTTAAATTCTAATAAATTATATAAGTTTATACATATTGTAAAATAAAGACCTGTATTGTATTTCAGCTTTAGATTTTCTCAAGTGCTGTTTTGACTAATTTTTTTTGTACTTACATGTATCTTGTCTCTGCTTAACAAATTTAAAAAATAGGATTCTGCTTTTCTTGCCCTTGTTACTAATATGTTCTGTGAAAGTTAATGTAAATTTGTTTCTGTCAACAAGAATGTTCCTGGTAAAAGTGGATAAACTCCGTATATGAATTAAAACATGCACAAATCAGGTGGCTGAAACATGGGAGTAATTTATAGGTCTTCATATGATTATTCTGGGTTGGTTACAATTTAGGTAAATGGCCATTCAGACCTCACTTTATAGCATTTTACTGGGTCAAGGTTACCGAAGAGCTTGTCCTTCCAATAATGAAACAGTAAGCAGTGACACTTGGCACAACAGGCATCCCTAGGAAGTTGATACTTTTGGAGTCTGTATACCTGTATTTGAGGTTAACAGTAGTAGAGACTCAGTAACTAGGAATTGTACTTCATCTGTCCATACCTCACACCCAAGGTCTGGTCCTTACCATGCCGTGCACATAGCCCACCTGTATGGGTGCTACCTTGAAATACTGTGTGCCGACACAAGACCTTGATTGGCACGGAAAGCTTTCTATACTTGATAAAAATCTGGGTGGAGGTGAAGTGGTAGGATAAGGGAAATACTGTATTAAATGGCTTTGAGTACAGTGAGTTCTGAATTATGGTTAGCCTAGTACTTGGCAGTTGAAAGCTATAGAGTTCAAACCCGGCTCCTGTAGAGCTGAAGGGCCCGGAAGTGGGCAGCGCTTCCTGCAGCTGTGCGCCTGCGCGCCCTTCCCGCTCCTTCCGGCATTGACTGGCTGTGGTGCTGAGGAATCGCGGCCTGGGCGGGGGCAGCCTCCTAAGATGCTAAGGCCGGACTTGTCCTCCACCCCTTCCGCCCCCGCGGCGTCTTCCTCGTCGTCGGGAGGGGCTCCACCGCAGGATCAGCGCCCCTTTCTCAGGCCGCTGGAGATCCCTTCCAGCCGCCCTTCCGCGCGGGCCTCGGCGTCCCCC